TTCACAATTCACCACTTGGAGGTCATCAAGGAATTTCCAGAACAATCAAAAGAATTAAACAACAACATACATGGAAAGGATTGAAAAAAGATGTACAAAATTTTATATCGTCATGTCAATCATGCCAGCGAAATAAAACCCTTAATAAAACCGTCAAACAACCCATGGTTATAACAACTACATCTTCCAAACCATTTGAACGTATATTCCTAGATATTGTTGGACCAATTACCAAGTCTAAAAAAGGAAATAATTATATATTGACACTACAAGACGATTTAACGAAGTTTTCTGCTGCATATCCGTTAGTATCTCATGATGCAAATTCGGTATCGAAAGCATTCGTTGAAGGTTTTGTATGCCAACATGGAATACCGGAGTCAATCTTAACAGATTGTGGTACAGAATTCATGGGTAAAATATTTGCTGCCTGTTGTAAACTATTGCAAATAGAAAAACTGCACACGACACCATATCATCCTCAATCTAATGGTGGACTTGAAAGGTCACATCAAACGTTAGCCGCTTATCTTCGACATTATGTCGATAATCATCTTGATGACTGGGATGACTATGTACCGTATGCAATGTTTGTATACAACACTACAGTACATACAACAACCAAACACCAACCATACGAATTAATATATGGATTCCCTGCCTCAATACCACATACATTAAGCAGAACTCCTCAACCTAGATACAACTACGACGATTATGTCTTCGAGTTGAAACAAAAACTTCAAGAGTCACACAAACAAGCTCGAGAAAATATATTATTAAGTAAAGAAAAATCCAAAGAAACATATGATCAAAATGGACATGAAATTAACTTCAATGTAGGAGATCGAGTTTGGATAAAAAATCACCAACCGAAAGGCAAATTAAGTCCTAAATGGCTTGGACCGTATTTGGTTACTCAATTAGAAGACACTGAAAATGTCACAATACAAAAAGAACGAAAAGAAGTGAAAATACACATAAACGAACTTAAACTGTGTGTTCCATAAAAAAAAAAAAAAGATAATATAATATAATTTTGTATAATTAAATTTAAGTGTAAAAAAAAAAATAAAAATAAAAAATAAATATTAAAATCATACATAAAAAATAAAGATAATAATAATATAATATATTTCACATATTAACTTGTAAACATTCCTGCGAAATTAGATGTATCTGGTATGTCTGAACTGTATAGAATAATGCAAACTACAATCGTTAAAAGTAATGATTTAATTATATTTATCAATACGATTCCTTTAGTATTAAGTAACATGTATAAACTATATAATGTTCTACCAAACCCGGTATATTTAGAAAATAATAGATTTATGTTTATACAACCTAGGTTTAAGTTTATAGCCATAACTATTGATCAGGAATATTTTATTAACTTAACCGAAAACGATGTTAGTTTGTGTACTGATACAAACCGTTTTAAAATTTGTAAAAACTTTTTAGCCAAAAGGGTAGTGACATCTAACGAATGTGAAATAAATTTAATTTCTTACTCAGATATTACAAAATTAGCAGATTTTTGTAAAATAAAATACACTTCATTTAAACATGGGATTTTTCATAAACTTATGTCTTCAAACTCGTGGATTTTCACGGTAACAAACCAAAATGTAATTTTAACGTGTTTCAATAAAGATTCAATAACAGAAGTATTAACTGGATCAGGAATATTATCACTAAGCGAACAATGTTCCGCAATTTCAGGAGGTTATCGCATGATTCCGTTTAGAACAATTTATTCAGAATTAAAATCAGATTTCATACCAACTATGAATTTAACTAAATATATACATAATGTTAACACAATACAAGAATATGTATCCCTAGAAGTAGTATTTTCAAAGTATAAAGATGATAATGATGTCACTATCCCAAAAGATAATTTAGATTATAAGCAATCTTCAATTTATATAAACTATTATGTTATTGGTTTAATAATACTATGTTGTTTACTAATAATTATTCTGTCAATTATCACAATAAAAAAAATATTTAATTTTAAGAAAATTAAAAATGTCAATGTAAACCAACCGAGTTCGACGGAACAAAATAAACAAAACCAAGATGAACTTAAAATAAGAAAAGGAAAATCATAACCCAAAATAATTATTTAAAAGTAGGATAATGATCTTCCGTCTAACCCGGGGGGTGTTATATGCCCACCACTATAGAGACTATAGAGACGCTTGTTTTACAGAATATAATAACGCCTGTATGTAGGCGTCTTATCTTAGATATTTTGCTAATACGCGACAAGACTGTAGTATCGGTCCTGTCGGCAATTCAGTCTAGAACTCGACTCATTCGAGCTAAGTAGTGAGCTTGTAGTATAAATCATATTTTTTAAAACTAATAAAGTATAATATTCTCATATAAATCTAAAACGTGTATTCTTTTTATTAATAAACTATTAAACAACATTTGATTATCACCCGCTACACAGAGAACGGTTTCAACAAATTGTCGTCTTCGGATACAACCAGAGACACAATATAAAATATAACAGAACATCACAGGCATACGCAGTGGCGTTCATAACAAATTAATCGAATCGAAAGAAAGAGATAAACCAGAATAATAAGCTCGTTTAAAGTTAAATCGAAATTTGAGAGGAGCGAGAAAATCAAAAACAAAAAAGAAGAAATGTTATACTGCGTTTATTGCCAGCCAGCAAAAAAAAAGTTTAAATACTAGCGATTACAAGCAGAGTTTTAAAGATCATTTGAATATTATTATCAGAGTTTTTCATAATAATTGCGTTGTGCGTACGCCGATAAAAAATTTGAATAAAAAATGAATGTTTAAATTATGTAATAGCCAGCTATTGAATCGAAAGCGATTTGGTTTTACAAATAACTGTCTGATTATTTGTTTTTTGTCAATTAATTATTTTCATTTGGGTTCAATAAAATTTAAATCCACTAATCTATTTTAATACTTCACAACGATCTAGAACTGGACGATCTGATTACAAAAAAAGAAATAATAATAAAGTTAGTCATAAACTGTAACGATAAAAGTAATAATATAATATTTTCAAATAAATCAAAATTGTTATGTCCCTTATTCGCAAATAATAATTCGATGTAGTCATTTAATGTAACGACATTAAATATAAAAATAGCATTACTTCACACCTACTCGCTATAAAAATATTGTTTTGCACATAAAAGTTTGTTGATTTTACGTGTTTTTTGGTTTTTATGTTTAAGAATGTAAACGATTTATAACATATTAACTAGGTTTAACTCTGACCCTAGAGCAAATCTGATATTTTTTAACACCCAGCACGATGAACAAAAATAAAATGTTCAACATTGTAACAAATAACGAGTGTACTTAATATAATAATAAACTATCGATATCACATTTGAAATTATTGCTTTATTGCTAAAAAAAATAATTATTAATTCAAATCAATGGTTGTTAAAAAATTATAATTTGTATATGCATTAGTATCATACGTGTATAAAACAACGTTTATATAAAAACAATTTGACATTTTTAAGAGTACATTTTCACATTTTTGTGTAAAGAATAGTGCATAGAACTAAAATTAAATTTGGGTGGACAAAAATTATTTCTCATTAAAATTGTTTATGCTGACCATACGTACTTATTTTACAGACCTTCAAACCCCCCAGCTCTGGAAAAAAGGTGGTCTCCCTCTTTGGGTTATAGGTTTGACGTCACTACACACGAACGTATACGTACTTTAAGTGTACAAAAATATAATATTTTAGAAAACATTTCAGTATATTTGAGTTAAAATATTTAGTAATAACATATTAATTATAATATTCCATGATAAAATTGACACTGATGACCAACACAAAAAACGGTTATGGAAAATATGGTTGGTATGGTTATAACCATTGGTCTCAGTTATAGACGCGGGCAGTTATTATAATATCACCAAATTATCAAAATGTGTATTAAGTTTGCAATTATTGTACTGGTGGTATTCATAGTAACCAATTGTTATTATGACCAACTTTTTATCACTGAATAAATTATTATTATCGATGAGCCTTTAAAGACAAAAAAAAACGTATTCAAACCGATGTAATAATAATAAATAATAATGTCACTGCTACTGTCACTGCAATACCACGTAAATAACATTTCACAAATTGTTCAGGAGAGACATAAAACTAATTAATTAGTGTGCAAGAAATAATTTTACAATTTTTTTTTCTTATATTGATATTAGGAGCTTATTATAGTTTAAAAACAATGAAAATTATATTTTGTAATATCATTTAATTTAATTAATAGTACTTACGTGGTTTTTCAGCAATATAATGAAGATACGAGGTATTGAAGGATTGCGATACGTGTTGTTTAAATACAAATGTTGTAGATACGTGTAATTTATATTTATTTAATTTAATATAATACTTTATTTAATAATATTATTATAATATTAATTAATACGTTTTTAAAATATATCAAAACTGTATTAAAGCAAGCACATACTCAGCATCAATTTTTTTTGGAGAGGGGGGGGGGGTGAACCCCTAAAATCCCCCTGGATACCGGCTTGTATTATAGTATCAAATAATAACCAGCTAATACATTTTAAATTTTGAAATAAATGAACAATCTTTGTTTTATTTCACAAATCAATAAAAAATTAAACAATAAAATATATTAATTAAAATCAAAAACTTTAACTAGGTGTGTAGTATAAATAATAATAATATAAGAAATACAACAGTTAACTAAAATAAAAATATCTTGTTAAAACATAATAATTATAAAAAAAAAAAAAAAAACATAATATCTGAGTTTTACCACATTATAAATTGTTAAAATTCCTTATTTAATATCTTAATTAATACTGAACACCAATAAAACTGCATTATAGTATAAATATTAATATACAAAATATAACAATTCACTAAAATAAAATAATAAAAATATCTTGTTAAAACATAATAATAATAATTATAACAAAAAAAGAAAAAACATAATAACTAAATTTTATCACATTTTCTTTCTTTATAAGTCTTTAAGTGAGGTATATTGTCATAATAATCGTGGACATCAGTTGGCAGAACAGTTTTTAATTTTTGGAGATCATTCCACTTGGAAAGAGTAATAGGAATTCTGCTATTATACAAACAAGGTGTGTTGATGGACAGATCTATAGTTTTTTTTGTTCGATGGTACTGGGGTAATTCTGTATATTCATGTTCAAAATTTATTTTGTAATATATTTTTTTGGTTGTGGGATCATATTTAAGAGCTCTTATATTTCGAACTTCAGGGTCACCCTTTGATCGCCCAGGTCGTATAGACTTATAATAATTCAATTTTTTGTAGTCATAGAAATCTGAATAGTTAACAGAGTGGGATTCATAGGGTGATGGATTTTTCCTTGCTAGTTTTGTTAGTTTCATGTAGTCAGATGGCAAATAGATTTCTTTGTTTTTTATTGTACGTTCGATTGAACTATGTACACTGTCGCATGGCATTTGTGTATGTCCTTTGACAAGGAACTTTTGTTCTATAATAACATTATTTTCTATAGAAAATTTAAGTAACGCATTGGACAATACCGTGTTGCGGTTTTGATACCCACAACCGTCCGAGTATATAATAATGTCTTTTTTTTTATTTTGAGTCTCATCTATGCATTGTTGTTTAATATGATTCAATATAATTGATGTAAATACCGATGCTTCGAGTTCCCCTTGACTTTCATCCCACCAATAATTAGAACAAGGGTGGTTAGGTTCTAAATTATAGACTGTAAAATTGTGTACTTTAAGTTTCATGCTGTAATATAAGGCACTAGCATTCAGCGCAGGGCATAGTTTCACAGCTTGTAAATCCATTGTCAAGACTATTTTTTTGAAAGCAACTGCATCAAGCGTATCAACTTTAAGCTCTTCTCGGGCTTGATTTTTTTGAGCAATATGTAGCTGATAGTTTTCTTCATTTACTTGTTTGACTTTATAACTTGAGCAGGTATCACATAAATCTTTTCTAGGTTGGTATATGGAAAATTTTTTTTGTGTCATAAATCTGGAGAAAAAACTTCTACTTAATGGTTTCATATTCTCTTCTTTACATTTCAACAAATATACATCATAAACTTCTTGTTTGCTATTAAACGGACCCTCAAGGTATAGTCTCTCAGACCTCTTTCGACAATAATGACTGGGCATTTTCGGCAAAGACCCAAACCAAGATATGAGATGATTATGTCGTACAGACACTGATACTCGTGGTATAGGTTCTTCAATTTCCTCTTCATTATCAAATTCCAAATTTAGATTGTTTTGTAAATTATTATTCTTTATATTCTTTGTTGATTGAGGTAATCCATTAATTGAAGAGTTTATCCAATTCCTCACCATCCATTCATTCAAACAGAGCGTATTCAAAAACATTTTTTTACAGACCGGTAATGATATGTCTTCTTTTTTTAAGTGATAAGTGTAGGAATAATCTCTTCGACTTTTTTCACTTTCGGTCATTATATATTATACGTTTTGTTTCTGTCTTGGTAATCATATTTACACAAACAGTTTTCTTTTCTGCCCAGGATGTACAATTATTCCAAAAATGGTTAAACAGTTCACTTCTCTCAGATTCAGAAAAATTGTCGCAGTATCTGTTTTTTGATTTATTGCAAAATGTTGAAGCACATGTTGGTTTCATTTTCCTTTCATCCTTATTTACATCTTGAGATACTTTCTTGCCTTGCCTCTGAAACCCTATGTATGCCTTTCCTAGCAATCTATTTTGTTGCATAACTTCCCTATTCCAATTTTTTTTTTGTGATATTATACCCCTTTTACGCACTCTTTTGTCAGTGATTGAATCTGAAGTTTCAATTTCAATTTCTTTTGAATAGTCATGATCATAATTAATAAATTCACCATTATCAGTTTCAAAATTAGTTATACAGTCAGTCTTGTCATAAATACTGTCATCAACTTGATTTTCAGTGGTTGGTGAAGTATTATTAGGAACATTTAAATTATTTTCATTAGAAATATTACCTGGTACATCAATGGAAGTTACAACTTCTACATCTTCATAAGTTAATTCAATATTATATTTTAAGCAATCTTCATAATTATTAAATTCAGAATTATCAGTTTCAAAATTAATTATACAGTCAGTCTTGTTATAAATACTGTCATCAACTTGATTTTCAGTAGTTGGTGCAGTATTATTAGGAACATTTAAATTATTTTCATTAGAAATATTACCTGGTACATCAATGGAAGTTACAACTTCTACATCTTCATAAGTTAATTCAATATTATCCTTTAAGCAATCTTCATAATTATTAAATTCAGAATTATCAGTTTCAAAATTAATTATACAGTCAGTATTGTTATAAATACTGTCATCAACTTGATTTTCAGTAGTTGGTGCAGTATTATTAGGAACATTAATTAAATTATTTTCATTATAAATATTATCTGGTTCATTTATAGAAGTTACAACATTCTCATAAATGAATTCAATATCATTTAAGGAATCTTCTGTTAAAACTTCATATTTTGTTTTTGAAATAGATGAATTGGCTATTAAATTAGTTTCATATTTTGGTTTCCTATTAGAGAAATTGGTAATATTTGTCTTACTTTTTTTTTTATATGTAATGTTGTTCATATCGTCATCTTTACTACTAGCTTCTTTAGCAAGCTCCAATAGATGTTTAATTCTTCTTTTTGATGTCATGATGTATAATGCTAAAAAAAACATAAATAATAATAATCATACAGTGTACCTAATTATTATAACTATCATAATAAAACTGTAATTTTATTTGAGTAGAGAATAACATAATTGAAACTAACTACTTTCATACAATTTTTTATTGAAATAAATTAACTATAACTTAATATTTATAATTACCTGTATAGTAAGACGTTCAATATTATTAGGGGTGAACTGTCTTAGACTAGCAGTCTAGCTCCACCAGCGTTTATGTTGAATAATATTATAATATTGTTCATTATGGTAGATACGTGTTATCAAAATCAAAATGTAATACGTGGTATCACAAAACCTTTAATTTGAGCGGGAAAAAACAATATAATGGACTCGTGGTACATAATAAAAGTGATAGAGAAAATTATAATCTATACAGTGATACCAAAATGTCATTTTCAAAAAAAATGTTATTTACGTGGTATTGCAGTGACAGTATCGTAATATTCTTATTAGGTTATTTTAGCACGGCGCTTCGTGTATGCAATTTTAATACATTGTATTCATGATTCATTTTAATCATTTATTGTGTTATCGATATGTCGTGGCGTAAATATTTAAATAATTAAATAAATACAATTATTATTATAATTGAAATTATGCTGTCCAACTATATTATTCAAGTGTTTCATTGGTTTACAACATCAAGACTCAAGATGTATACAAACAAAAAAAATATGACATGTAAATTGATACGTATTTTATATTACAGTTATACAATATTATTTGATATTTACTTTACAAAATGTTTGAAAAGAAAAATTCTCAATGCGTCATTCATTAAACTTTATTATAATTTAGATTAATATCGACGATAGCAAAAGAATATTTTTGTAATTGTTTTTTTTTTTTTTTAAATATAATTTCTAAGTTTCTAAAAATCCACTAAATGATAGGTATAAGTGTACCTACTAATGAGTAAATTATTTCTTGCAATTATTTATTAAAACAAAAACTATAATACGTCAACTATCCAATTCTAGCTGACGTCAGACATTAAACTATCGATTTTTTCAGTCTTGAATGTAAATACAAATTCAAATAAAAAAAAACAATACTGTATATTGGTATCCAACACGTTCATAACCTCAGTTACAACATAACCTTTTGAAAAATGTAACAGGTACCAAGGTTGGAGGTGGTCATTTGATTTATTTGATATAATATATATAACGCGTTGAGGCCCAATAAAACGTTAACTTACACAATGCAATAAATAATAAATATAATATGTACATAGAAAACTATAATAATAATAACAGAGATTAAAATAAACTAAACTACATATTATTATAATATAATCCAACGACCCGGTAGGTTCGCGCTAAGTATAAAAATAAATTAGTTACCTTGAAAATGCACACATAGGAATACGGATCGGACAAATACGGTCGATCGGTTGGTGTCTACTGGTACTATGCATAGGAAGAATAAAGGAAATTTGAGACGGAACGAGAAGGAATTTTAGAGTCTACTTGCAGGACCATGAATCAAACAGCCAATTAACTTGTAAAAATACAAGATTAGTTCTACAACGCCTATCAATTAAAGAAGTGAGACCGAGCTTTGCAAGACTGGATAGTTGTAGTCATGCCGAGGGTGGTCTGTTTTCAGCTGTGGATGCCAAAAAGTGTCTTTGAACTCGCTCTAAATGGTATGAAGCAACTACCGCAAATGGGTTACAGAACCCAGATGCATATTCTAATAATGACCGGACTAGATAATTTTCCGGTCGTATTAGCTAATGACTTCCGTGGACCAATGGAATATTGTGAATGTAGCGTTGTAATTTATTATCAGTATTATCTAAGCTGATAATACTTTCTTTGTTAATCTGTTTACCGTCGTTGTTTCTAAAATGATATAATATTTTATAATAATAATAATTATAAGTGTGTATGACGAATCAGCAGCCTGAATCGTGATTATTCGACGTTAGAAACACTGTTGCTGATCATTATGAAGTACATTAATACCTACACCATAAAACTATACTTGTAAAAATAATAAATAAAATTACGAAACATTAGGTACCTACCAATATATTATTAAGAAAAACAAGCCAAGTTGTGTTTTATTTTGTCAGCGAATGGTTGACAACAATCTCACTATTTATCGTAAAATCGGTTTCATAAAAGTTTGTGTTTTGTTTTTAAATATTTGTAACGCACACAGATAGTGTTTAAAAATAATCGTAAAAGTCTCCGACCACTCAGTAATCGGTTACAGTAGCAGTCGTCACTCAGTATATGCTTCATTTTGATATTCCGTGCCTGCAGTAAAAACCGTACTTACTCTTTTTTGTCGAAACTCTTGATGGTGGCGTCGCATGCGAACAGTAAGTTTCATTACGTACGCTAAAATGTCTGGCGTAGTAATATGATCTAACAGCTGAGCTGTACGAAAATATGATCTTCGTAGGAATGAAAAAATGAGAAAAAAAATGTAAAAAAAATAAATGATACCTACACAAAAACGGTGACAGCTGAGGCGGGAACGTTTGTATACCACCCGCCGTATATATATTATATGCATAAATATATTATAATATACGTCCGTGTACATCATATTAAGCTCGTTTTGTAGTTTTTTACCTCGTTATGCGCTCGGGATAGCGTGAAGAGCAGTTTTTTAGCCGTCTCGCGTCGCCTTCGCCGCATGCAAATTCACGTCGACCTAATTGTAATAGTATTATAATAATATTATCATAAAAAAAAAAAAATTAAAAAAGAAATGTATATTATAATAATATAATACAATACAATGTTGTGTGTGTTTACTGCAAACCGATATTGTGTGTGCGGGGTCGGCGTCGGCGCGGATTCCGATATAATCTAAACGGTAAATATAAAATCCAACTATATAATAATCGGTTTTTTTTTATGCTCGACGGGGGAGGGGAAAAAACACTACGGAATCGCAGGTGGCTGCAGCTGGTAATTACAGGTATGCACCGTCACGTACGACGACGTTTTATATTACAGTAGGTAATCCGCCGCCTGGCCGTATTTTTTAGGGTGTCATATTATTACTACTCGCGAGTGAGTATACGAGTATATTATTATAATATATATACATTATGACTCGTATAGGTATATATTGCTTATACGCATTAACACCTTAACCCGACGCCTCGACGTAAATTATGCGCCGCTCGCCCCAAAATTATGATTAATCGTAAAATAATTTCCATCGCGTTCACTCGAAAACCGCGATTTTGTGTCCTACGCGCGCCAAACATAATATTATTATATTGTATTATATTATATTTTTGTCGTCGTACCAAACGAGTAAGGAAGTAACTGCATACTTCGTGCTACTATTGCTTGCTCGTTACGAGCGTGCGGCGCACGTATTTCATGCATAATCAAAATATTATACACACGACGAATGAAATATTATAATGGCGGCTTGTTGTTGTAGAACCAAAACGAAAAACTATTACCTACGCTTACAATACTAGCTGCATTAGGTTCACCGTAACGTAAGACGGCGCGTTTCGATGTGCCTACAAACCGGAGAATTAAATGTGAAATATTATAATATTTTATCTCAACTTAACGTCAATTTAACAATGGTTGTGGTTTGATTGAATATTATAATAGTATAATTAATAATTAATATTCGATCAAAGACAATCACACATCATAATATAGCTGATATCGGATAAACGCATGAACGAGGAGCATGCTATCATGTCGGGGTACCAGGAAACGAAACAGCAGTCCTAATTACAAACTAAACCACTACATCCTAATAATCCATACTATATAAACCTAATCTCAAATTCAGAGACACACAATACCATCAACCATAAAACTGAAAAATCTTGGTAGAATAATTGGAGCAAAATAGTTGGCACTCGCAAAAAAATTATAAAAAATTTAAAAACATTCATCAAAAAATGAAAATTGCACCTTAATCTAAATAGAGGAGATGAAGTAATAATAACTTGATCCAGAATATTATTACACTATTATAACTCTTTCATTCTTATCACTAAATAACCAACCCAACATGGGACGCGTGTAAGAAAAATTGACAACCCCACTGTAACTAAACTATGTCCTAAGCCCACTGAAATGATTATAGTATCATCAGTTCCGTACCTAAACTCGACAATCTACTACATAGCAACTAAAATATGTCCAAATCTACACCAAAATCAATGGAACTGAAGTTATTTATTTATTTTTCAATAGTAGGCATACATCTTAAGGCGCCCCGCGGTTCCGATGCCATTTTGTACTCAAAAATACACTCTGCGGAAATAACGATACCGCCTTGTAGAATCAACCAAATTTTGTATATTTTTTTTAATTGCTGAAGACTTAATTTTCTACATCATTTTCTTCATCGATCTCTGTTTTTCAATATTTTATTCTCATATCGTATGATATGTCTAAAAAAATTCACGATAAAAAGCATTTTTTTACAATTTTTTGAATACAACCCTTTGAAATAAAATACATAATCAGAGATCGATGCGAGCTGTAGGAAGTCTTCTTCTTTCAGATAAAATAATGGTCATTAAAATCCCACAATTCTACAGAGCTTGAGAGTTATTCCCGTAAAGATATTTTCTTCAATATAATACACCCTATCAACCCCCCCCCCCTAAACAGGTATCGGGAAGTATATTAGTGGGAAATTCTTATAATTGAGGTGGCAACTAAAATATAAAATTTAATTTTCAAATTTTATAGAATTGTGGAAAATTTTAAAAACTGATACAGGGAACCTTAAGTGAAGAACTGTAAGTAACTGTAATATTATCGCCATATCCACAATAATATTATGTTAGTCTGTCTTTGTTTTTACACAACTAATAATATATATTTTAAGCCAAAATTGTGATAATAACCCTAGCTAAGCCCTAGCAGTTAAATAAAAAAGAAATATGGTATTTGTGAAACGATTGTAATGACTCGACCAGGCGTGGATATAGGGGGGAATATGGGGGCTGAAGCCCCCCTTAGACTAGGACTTCGGTACTTAAAATATTTTAAAACTTAAATTAAGTGCCCATGCTTTTATGTACCTTGAGTACATTTTTTTGTCTAGCCCCCCACACTTTTTTTCATTTCTAGATCCGCGCCTGGAATCGACGGTCTATACCAGTGATGGGCAAAGTACGGCCCGCCGGCCAACTCCGGCCCGCGAAAGAATTTCATCCGGCCCGCCGAGGGTCCATCGACACGGATAGTATATGGCCCGTATAGTATAAAAGTACAGTATAAAAAAATTCCCGAAATATTCTGAAAATGATCGAAGAAAATAGTTTTAAATATATAAATGGATTGGCGCGGACTGTGAGTGGTCGTACCCTCATAGCATGATGTAGGTAGATAGTAGGTACTATAATGAGACTTGGGGTTGTCTGAAATCATTTAAAACTCCGCTTTTTCTGTTTTATAACTGCATGGCGAAGGACGATTTAACTCACTTTCTGCGTTTAAAATCCATGTCACCAGTGAGTGAGAATAAACTAAAAGAATTCAGTCAGGCGTTGAAAAAACTTCACACAGAATTTCAAACTAGGTTTCAAGATTTTAAGAACATTCAATCATCACTAGATGTTTTCTCGATGCCGTTTAATGTAGACCCTGAAAATGTATCTGCAGAATTGCAGTTGGAAATTATTGAAATGCAGTGCAGTACCCATTTGAAGCAATTGTTTTTGAATTCCACAAAACTAGATTTTTATAGAGCACTTCCGAAAGCTGAATTCCCAAAGATAATTGCTCACGCCCAGAAAATTATGACGATGTTTGCGTCGTCTTATGTGTGCGAACAGACTTTTTTGACCATGAAATTGCGGAAAAACTCAATCAGAAACCGATTGACTGATGAACACCTTTTCACACTGTTGAAAGTTGCTTCGTCACAGATGGAACCTGCTTTCGAAAATATTATGGAAGATCAAAAACAATTCCATAATATGTCTCACACGCCACCATGGTTGGGCCTTTGAATAAAAGTTAAATTAATTATTATTTAAATTTTAAAGTAAAAGGTAATTCGAACATTTGTGTGTAATGCTGCAATGTTTTTATAATATTATATGATTCAAAGCTTTAAGACAAAATGTAGGTATATTTTTTTTTTCTATAATTTTGGCCCTTCTCTAGAATTTCTTAAACAATGTGGCCCTCCATTAAAAAAGTTTGCCCACCACTGGTCTATACTGACGGGAAACGCGAACGGCTTACAAGGCCGATAAACGTACTGTTGTACGGTTGTACCTATACGCAAAACACGAAGATTCGACATGGAAAGTATTAACGGTTCGTTCACTAAACGGATTCCGACATATTTCACGTATCGCAATCACCTCTTCACCAACCCGGTGGTATTCGTGTGGTTGTAGTGCGATTATAATAATAACTATATTGTTATTAATAACGATATTCAGTAGGGTAGGTATACGCGCCATAATTATTTCTTGTGCCTATTGATGTGTATCGGCCGCATGGCGTAATTATTGTTATATCCGTCGTTCGATGAACAAGAGTGGAGGACGACCGAAGGGCCTATACAATAATAATAATAGTAATAATAAGAATAATAATAATAATAATAATTATAACAATAACAATAATATCCAAAGCGCAATTTAAACCCACTGTGGTAATATGTACATATTATATGCCTGCAATGGTATAATAATTTGTTCTGCGGACGAAACTTGAAATCCGTTTCATACCTCCTGTGCAGGAGCTTAGGCGTTCCGAAATCCAAAACGAGGTCTTAACGATATTAATTTGCCGTAAAGTTATTATATTTAGATGACGTATAAACAACGGCGAAATAATAAATAAAACCGGAAACGGCGCGGCGGTGCCACGTGCCCGTTTGTGGTCTCCGCCGCCGCCGCCGTGTCGGAGTAACGCTCGGGAGAGCCGAGAGACTTTGCAACTATATTAAAATCGTGAAGCCTCCTTCTCCTCCCCCCCAACAGAAGCCGCCCCGCAAACCGTGTGTTTAATATCTACGAGAAACAATAATTTTACGATATTACACTCACCTCACACGCAACAGTGACCGCTGCAGAGTGCAGATGTAATATGATAATATTATGTATTATGTTTGAACTAATATGTCTCTCGTCGATATAATAATAATATAATACGAAGGTATACAATAATATGATATATTATTATAAAATATGCACACACGCCACGCGAAAGCGAGCGGATCCAGAGCGGAGATCAAGCTGAGCTCAGAGAGGAAAAAGCACTTTTTTTCAGAAGGCATCACTATTATACAGGGGAACCGAACTGATTTTACACATGGCTTGGCCCCCATGGTTTATTAAAAATATTATTTACAACGTAGCTGGTATGCTCTCATGAGGCCGCAATCTACTTTATACTTTATCTATATGTAGATTACGAACATCACGAGAGCGAACAATCTTTACAGTTGGCAGAGCCTCATGGGAATTAGACGGGACATGCCCCGCCTTACCCCTTGACATAAATTTAATAATATTATACAGTCTTACATCAGTCGGTCCAATGATAGACCGACTTAAGTCCTCCACCTTGGACTTCGCGGTTAGTAGATCCTGTTCTCGGACCGGTGTCGTAGGATTCTATTACCCTCAATAATTTGTACCCCCCTTCACCCTGTAAATATATCATAGGTTATGGTTACCGGGGGTAAATTTAACCTAAGATATTTATACCCCCCGGTAAAAATATACTAGGATATATTTACCCCCTCCCCCCTGTAATAAAATAAAGTATATTATATTATATTATATAGCTTATTTTAGAATTATTTCCTTAAAAGTACAGATATATTTCAGAAATTATTAATTCAAATGCTAGGTACCAGAATGCGTTGAGCGAGATACAAACAATTTAATACAATAACAATTTATTATGTTTTATTTCACTTTAATTTTTGACTATTTGTAATTAAGTTAGAAATTAACTTATAACGTAGCAGCTACTCAATATTTTTCAAACTCCGTTAAAACCCCCAAAACATATTTAAGATTCATACATATTTCCTGATGTTTAAAATATCGATTACCATGCTACTTTTCTTTCCATGACATTGATTTTTCCATTTACATATTTTCGGAGTGATAAATAACAAATCAAAATATACTTAAAGTATAATTTATTAAATATAAACTATTTATATAATATATTTTAAATTTCTACGATGAGTACTGTCTCTATTTATATTCATAATATAATTTATACAATAAAAATATTATTTAAGTCTAAAACGATTTATTGTTATTTTTATTTCGGCTGTAATAATATATTTTAATAACTAATAAGTTTATACACAAAACATATTTTTTAAACAAGTTTTTAGGGTTCCGTACGGTAAAACGGAAGCCTATTACTAAGGCTGTCGGACGGACGTCTGTCACCAGACTGTATCTCATGAACCATGAAAGTTAGAAAGTTGAAATTTTCACAGATTATGTATTTCCGTGGATGCTATAACAACAAATACTAAAAATCCTTTTTTTTCGAGTTAATCGAGGGACGGAAGAGCATTACTTCTTCTCAATACTAAAAATCCTAGAATAATATATAATATAAGCAGTGTTGCCAACATAGCTGATGATGGTACGGACTTTGTGCGCGAGTCGGACTCGCACTTGGCCGTTTTTTTTTGTTTGGTCCTTGGGCTATCCCTATATCTCCTTATCTGTGCAAAGTATTCATATACATATAATATGTATAAAGTGGGCTAGTAAAAAAACTTGAAAGAACTTGTAAAACTTGAATATTAACTCGATTCTTTGCTTCTGTCATCATGGTAATACCACAATTACCTAAAATATCTGCACCCTATTAGTCATGGCACACAATTATATAATATATTATATTATGTTAATTGATTTCTACACTTATATACAAAAAAAATAATATTTGTATACCTAATCTCATATTTTTTTTAAATGCACCTACCATTACATTTTATTATTAACTCCATACATCATAATAATATTATGTAGGTATATTAAACTAAAATCAAATTAATAATAATTTTTAATTTTTAACTTATATCTAATATTCATTATAATATATTAATATATTCGCCTGTGATTTTGCTTCTACTTTTACTTTTTTCCCCATTTATATATTTTGCAATGCGGACACGACACAATCTTTGCGTAGAGTATCAACCAAAATGGTTTTTGAATTTGCATACTGACAATATTCAATCAATTTCAACTACACCGCGATACCTGTTGGCAATAATCCAATAACTCCACGAGTATGGATGAGATGCCTCACCACTGGTATATTATAATAATATAACATCAGAGAAACAATTGGCAGCATGTGACTAGAAATTCGAATACACATACAATAGATACAACGAATAATATTTCATTGCTCATTAAATGTTTAATTTGGCGTTATAATCACACATTTTGTGATTTGGTTTATTCATAGGAATAAATCAAAAATGTATTTTCTTGTATTATATTACAATAATTCAACTAGGTATCTGAGCTAGGAAAATTTAATTTTTTGGACAAGACATAGAAAGTATCTCTGTAATGGCGTAATATAATAGGATTGTTGACAACAATTTGTTGCTCTTACACCAGCAGACTTCAAAAGACGCATGTAATAGAAATTTCAAGGTAAACATGACCTAAATTTTGAAAAAAAATTACTTTGACCTTTCTGCAGCCACTCTAGAACAGAATGTCTGATATAACATGTACAAGTATGAGTGAGAGTTCGCTTGATATCGCCTACCGAATTGTATTTTAGGTTGAAATACAAAACGCATAGGATTTTACCGATAAGTTTCGTTAATTGAAACTATATTCAATATTAGAATAACAGTCCTTTTAATTCATTTTAGTTTTTTAAATTATATTTATCAAAACAATACCTTTTTTTTATGTATTAATAATACCTATGTAATGTAGATATTGTGTTTTATTATTCTATTATAGGTTGACATACTATTATATACATATTTTGGAGGTTTAATAAAATAATTAATTATATTGATGTATTTTAATAACCATAAGGTTCATCCTACCACAAGTCGTTACTTTTTAAACAGCTCATGGCAAGCCCCGTAAAGCGATCGTAATGGAAACTATTAGACATATTATTATTATTATTATTATGTAAACTTGAGATCGTTGTAAATCGATCATGAGCAATATCATTGGTTGGTGTCGAACTTATCGTGTTAAAATCAACCAAGGTGAGTGAAAATAATAGCTACCTATCTAAAGGAAGTATATTACAAAAAAATTAAGTCTAATAATTTGGTTTAAATATATATTTATTGAAATAAAAACTGCTTGAAGTACAAAATATATATTATGCAATATGTTGGACATTTAAAAATACCAAACGATTCGACATCCTAATTAAAGTCCATTTATCCTATCTTATCTTAATCGGGCTGTGTTGGGCACCGCGAGTATAATATTCATAAATCCATCGATTTGTAGGTACCGATTGTACGACAGAACGGGGCCGCGATTTGTGTGGTCGTTTTTGAACTCGACAAACGACCTCGGCGAAAGAAAAATGCAAAACTGTTTTTAACATTTTCATGTATTTCAGATTACAATATTATGCGACGGCGATCAAACTTCCCGGCGATCGATTCACCGGATACCGGATATAGGTACTCCTTGTTATATTATTATATCCGAGACAGAACGTGGCGTGTATGTGTGTGTGTGTGTGTGTGTGTGTGTGTGTGTGTTTACACATCGTATTAACGCTCTCTCGGTGGAAACCATTTATCACGAACGCGCTCGCGGAATGGCGGAGGCCCGGAAACTTTGGGAGAATAATTTCGCTTTGAAATCGTTTTAATACGTCGTCGCCGACACGCGGACAATAATAATTAGCGTAATGATCTCGCACGCATCTGCGGCGGATTCGCCGGGCCCCCTGCAAGCTGCCGAGGAGACGAGTAATTTTTCTCGGCTAAACCTCAGCGCCCTTCACGTGG